ATAACCGATATGCTTGTACACGATGAGGCTAGCGGAATGGCCCTTCTATAAGCTCTTCGATACGAAGAGCGCATCTTGAATAAGATGCGCCAAGAAGAAAAGCAAAAAGTTAAACAGTGCTAGTCTGACTGGTAAGCCCAGGGGAAAAATAGTATGGTGGAGAAATGAACAACAGGGGGCTGACGAAAGAAGTGAAGAATGCGAAGCAGCCGTCATGATGAATCAACGCCGGAAAATGCGACTCTCTGTACTCCGGAACCAAAATGTGGTACGCAATAAAAAGTGGTGGAAATGAAGATTGTCTAGACCTCATGTCTATCGTCTAGCTCAAAACTCTTTTGGCTTATGCGGCGGTAAAAGGGCACGCGCGGACTCAGGAAGCGAATTCTTGGCGAAGTGGGCGAGGATGGCCGCGAATTCGATCGCTTGTTGGTCAGGAAGAAGATTTTATACAGCAGGCCGAGTATCGAGAAGCCAATGGCGAATCCAATAAACGTGACAAAGAGCCAGTGCTTAGCCATCCAAAAGATGACCTTGACATCGGTTTGGTGCCAGCTGTTGCCCAGGTGGTGGGTGAAGAAACTCCAGGGATGGTTGTTGTACTCGTCGGGAAAGAGGATGCGCACGCGATCTTGGTCGAGGGGGTCCGCGTTGTTGTAGTGGCGCCAGATGATGCTGAGGAAAAGCGGGCCGGTAGAGGCCATGACGGTGATGTAGGGAAGTGGCCACCGGCGGTTGTAGTCGGTCAACGAGTCAATGGCCTTGAGGAAGAAGGGATGGCGGGGAATGGCGCCCATGGCATCGTTGGAAATGCCAGTGGGAAGGGTTCGACGAACCCAGGCCGGGTAGGCGAGGAGCGGGTCGAGACTGCGGTTGCATCCATCGTCTAGATCAATGTAGATGCCACCAAAGTGATGCAGCACAAAGTATCGAATGGCATCGGCGCGCTGAATGGGGTACGGGTAGCCGTCAAAGGTTTCGAGGAACCATGGGTATCTACGGCAGGTTAGACTAAGGGCGAAGGGCACATGTTGGAGTGTGAAGACGTACTCGGCAGCAATGAACTCGCGCGACTTCTTATCAGTCCATAGCTAGAGCCAGTCAGTATGCTTGTGTTCATGGTAGCCATCGTTGTCAAGGCTTTGCTGGTGTGCGCCGTACCTTGTACTCGTAGTCGGGGTGCAAGTCCAAGCAGCTCTGCTGGGGGCCCTTCCAGTGTTTCGGTATGCTCTCGTTGATGTAGGTCTGGTGGATGATCTTGGGGATCAATTGTGGCTGCTGGCTAATGGTACCAGAATTGGGGGCGGGCAGTTCGCCGCGGAGAATGGCATCCTCACGGCCCGTGGCGATCAACAGGCCCAACAAAGTCCACACGCTGTGAACGGCGAAACCGAGGACCAAAATGGTCACGACAATAAATATGGTGACGCCTCTCCGCATGGCGACTGCTGTTCCTCGCGTGCGCTGGACGGTGCTGTGCTGTGTTGTGCTGCGCGGCCGCTTCTGTAGGCCGGTCTCCTTTTTTTTTTCTTTGGGGGGTTGTGGTGAGGGCACGGGGCAGGGTAGCACCGAAGGCGGGTGCAAAGACGCGCGCTCGCGGGAAGTGGTCCCAGTGGATCAGTCAATAGTAGATGGCGTGTGAAAGAAATGGCATTCGGGTGGTGGGAGGACCGTGTGAGCAAAGACTTGGGAAGCAGAGAAGGGCTACTAAGAGAGAGAGAGAGAGAGAGAGAGAGAGAGAAAGAATAAGAGAAAAGAGAGCAGCAGCTGGAGGAGGGCGGTACTGTTAGTGGCAGGAGTTACTACTAGGAGGCAGTGCACCCAGCAACCCAGCCAGCCAGCGCGAGAGAAGCGCCAAAGAAGCGCCAATTTCGCTACGGAGAGAACGACCCTGGCGCAGATGGAAGGCGCGACCCACACTGCCACACACATGCCCGCACTGTGCACAGTCTGCGCCCCGCTAGTCTCTACTTGGACAGTACCAGTCTTGTGGCCAGTAAGCATCCCCATCTCCATGTTCCCCCGCCCCCACCGCGCCCCCTGAACGCCCAGGTACCGGTTGCCGCGTGCATAGTGTACACAGTACAGTAGGCACAGTGCAGTACAGTACAGTACAGTGCAGTACAGTACTATACAACCAAGTACCACCCACCTGTCCACCTACAATACGGTAGCACAACGCTCTTCACTTGTCCCAGCACGGTCGAGGTTGCGGGCTTGCTACTCTACACAAACACTGCGCAACGCACCGACACCTGTCTTATAGTAGGCATGGTATGCATACATCTACCGTCTGACTGCGACGACATGACGAACACCTGCAGCCCACTACGCATCCGATATCTGGGTTCGGCGTGTGGGTGACGTGACGAGATGGCCGTCTCATACAGCACCATGAAGAGGCATGCACATCGAGTCCTGCTAGATTGATGAGGCCATGCTCTGCTCTCTCTCCCTCGATCGATCGATCAGACTGGACAACGACGACGACGACGACGATGATGATGATGGTACACAATCCATGTCCCGTGTGTGTATGTAGCTAGGTAGTTACTGTGCTGATAAGCGAATGGTGATGACGTAGGAAGGCTTGCGACTACTCTGCTTCTACCTAGCTCGATCTACTTAAACAAGCTTACACATTGCCATCTTCACGCCAATGCCAGCAATAGAAGCAGCGGTTCGGCGGCCCGTCCAGGACGGGCAATCCACCCGCATCGCTTTCTAAATGGTCGCTACTTGACCATCTCACGCTCGAATCGCCATGTCCATGGTAGATGGACACATGCATGGCTTATCCAAACTGCGACTTCCACTCAACGCTCGCATCCTTGGCCGTCACCGCCTCATCGTTGAACCGCTCTCACTCCCCCTCATCTGCACGCGAATCATGCCACCCTCCACATCCCAGCCAATCGCCTTTTCCCCAATCCCATTGCATCTGATAGAGCCACGCGTCTCCTGCCTCTCGTCTTTCGCCCTTCCCCTCCCCCCCCTCCCATCTACTCCAGTCTATTCCTATGTTGTTCCACCAAAACCTATCCGCCTAACCCCCCTCGGGCACACCTACTAATCGAATCTTCATCTACCTACATGGCCCCCCTGCTTTGGTTGCTGGGCTACCTCGTACTCACCACACTCACCATCACCTCAGCTGCGCCGACATCCAACACCACAGCCCTTGCCCACCACGCCGAGGACCTACAAGCACAAGACTCTGTCAATCATGGTGAAACCTCCACTTCACGAACCGCCTTTACAGCCCTGTGTTTGAGCAGTGTATCCACGCTGACGTGTTTGGCTGGTAACATGTCAGACAAACTCCACTGCTTGCTGCCGTTGACAGGACAAGGGAATCGCGTGCAGAGTATGGGCATACAGCAGCTCAAATCCCCAAACTTTTCCCAAGTACTCGTCCTACTCCTGTTCGCTTTCTCCACGTCCTTTGTCGTCTCGGCTGCTATCGTGACCATAGGGCTTGATCTTGCGACCGCAAGCACCTGCCGTATAGCTGTACATTTTTGCCTAGCTTTCTACGTAGGTAGCAAAGTCATCATGTGAGTTCAGCTTTGTCGACAAGAAGAAATCCTGCGTCGTCAGTACAGCCATCGGGAGGACACAATCATCTTCACCAAAGCACAGCTGGAAACGCAGTCCTGTAGCCGATACGACACCAGGATAATGCGATACCCGGCTTTCACAACTAACGGTATGCATGCAGATATGTCTTCCTGGTAGAAAGAGCCCATGCCATTCGCGCCCCTTTCAGGCAAAGACACTTCGACAAATTGTGGCTCTTCAGCATGCTGGCCATCGGACTCGGCTTCGGAAGCACCGCCATCACTGGTTTCATCTGGCCAATAGCTGAACTCGGTAGGGACAATCAGCGATGTCATATTGGCTTGAAACGCCGGGTTACGATTGTGCTTCTCGTGGTCGATGTTTGGCTCAATGTCTTTCTCACGCTCATCTTCGTCTATCTCATCAGTCCGTCAGTTCGGTCCATGGACATTTCCTTTCTTTCTTTCCCTGCCAGCCGGTTTACAATGTGTCTGGGAAACATGTGCCACCGGTCCAAGAACAAAGTGGACGTGGACCTTCACAGATCCAATCCGCGTGTTGTACACCAGATGGAGCATCTGCTTGTCAAGACTTTGGTAGGCTCCATCTTCATCATGGTTCCTACTACAGCCAACTTGACTGCATTGTGCATCTTCGAGGGACGAGAATTGGGCTGGGTAAGGCGGCCAAGCATGCTTTCCTCGTTGCCACCGCTTATCTTGGCTTTGCGTTCTAGGTCTGTCTGACCATATGCGTGCTGGACGGTTGGTTTCCTCATGGCCTGCCCCTTTCCCACCCCACTAACCATGTGCCCTAGTAACTTGGCAGACCTGTGTGTTCCACTGGCTCACAGAGGGCATCAGCGAGGCCAGGCAAAAGGCGTCGGCAGGGTCAGTCAGGAAACCGAAGCCTCACTCGGTCCCTCTAAACTGAGATATGGCTCATTAATCACAATGCACAGGTCACGGAATTCCGAAGTCATTCAGAGATCCCGAACAACACACTCTCCCGTTCTGCGGCCGAAAAAAGACCCTTATTCATCCTCTATCATATCGGAATCGTCGTCTGGTGAAGACAAGGAAGAAGCACCAGGAAAAACGGACTTGGAGGGACAAGTGGAGCAGGCGCCGAAGCTCTCTAGTCCTGAAGCAAACACTTCGTCGGACGATACACATTGGAAGGAGTCTAATCGAACAACGCTCGTGACAGATTCTACGTGTCCTTCTCAGCTACGCTGAATGCTGGCCTTCAAAAGTCCGAGTCCTCCTCCTCGATGATGGCGGAAGAAAGGAGGCCCTTGCGCCTGCGGAACTCGGGCACCTTCTTCATGATGCCAGGGGGGATGGTAGGTGCACGATGAAAACTTTCTTCCTTTTTGGTAGCCTTGGCCGCCCGATACTCTGCCACGGTACGGGTCCTTTGGCGAGGCTTGGGTACGACTGATGGATGGAGGTTGAGAGCAGATGACAGCAATTGAACGATGATGTAAAGGAGGACGCCTGTGATGCAACCGATGAGGGCCGCTGTGCCAAGATAGATGTATAGTGTCTGTACGGTACCTCTTAGCTTGCAAGCCATGTGTAAAAGGGGAAAATGGTTGGCAAGCCGTGCACAGCATTCTTACCTCGATGCGTTGGAGCCATGCGAGACTGAATGGAATTGACAAGATGTTGACGAGGACATGCGCAGCGTGGATCAAGGGTAGTAGAAGAAAGAAGGCGACACGATAGAAAGGGGCTAGGAGGAAGGCGAGGGAGGCGAAGAGTCTGCTAATGGGCCACCAGATGAGGTGTAAAGCGAGGAAGAAGATTGTGAGTGCTTGTTCCCAGTAGGCCATTGCTTGACGCGGTAGTGGGAGGTGTGGATGGCTCAGTTGGTGGGGGTGGTGGACAGAATGGTTAGGGGATGCGCATTGTGACGTATGGATGTGGATGATGTGGTGAGAAGAGGATAGCAAAGCCGTCGGTCTGGGTTCCTAAGTCAGGAAGGACAAGGTACCGGTACGTAGAAGGTGGAAGAGAGTTTGGGTGGTAGAGATTGCTGTCTGTCTGTGTCGAGGGTGGGTAGGTAGGTAGGTAGTAGTGAGTAGTGAGTAGTAAGTAGTAGGTAGTAAGTAGTAAGTAGGCAACTTCAAGATGGGGTACCATTGGCTCGTGCACTAAAATCATCGGCAATGGGGGGAGATGGAGGGGAGAGGGGGGCCGATGGGGGGGAATGTCATGTCATTGCCAAAAGATCCCTGTGTGCGGGCGGGCTGCATGCATTTCCGAGACGGGCGATAGCTTGCAGCGTTGTCTCCTCATGGTGACCTTTTTGTCTCAGTCTCTCTCTCTCTCTCTCTCTCTCTCTCTCTCTCTCTCTCTCTCTCTCTTTCTCTCTTGTTCTCGAGGATTCACGTCCATGTATGCTCACGCCGCTTCCCCAGATCCACGTCCTCGTCCACGTCCACGGCAACGGCAACGGCAACGGCAGCAGCGAACAGCCGCCTTCCTAAAGCGGCCATGGGGAACCAGAGCTCACGCTCCTCGACGCCCGCGTCGACTCCGCAATCGCCTGCCGCCGTCGCCAACGTGACCGTGTCACATGTTGCTCGTTCTGGTTCTGGTTCTGGTTCTGGTTCTGGTTCTGGTTCTGGTTCTGGTTCTGGTTCTGGCTCTGGCTCTACTAATACTACTACTACTACTGCTGCTGCTGCTGCTGCTGCTACCACTTCATCTTCTTCTTCCTCTGCCCATCAGGATCGTGACCGTGACCGTGACCGTGAGCGCAACCGCGACCGGCCCTCTTTGCACGCCTCACACGCCCCGCTTGCCTCGCCCGCCTCACATCTGCCACACCACTACCACTACCATCACAACCACCATCACCATCACTACCCCACTGCCCGCCGTCGAGAATCAATTCAAGCGCTGAGCACGGCCAAAGCACAGGCGGCGCCGCCCTCTGCCACTCTTGACCACGCCGAAAGCCATCCCACCACCAACCTTCACCACCATACCCAGAACCACCTCACCCGCCCGCTCTCCCGCGGCCCCTCCAACGCAGTCGTCGCCGGTCCCTCCGCCACCACCACCGTCGCCAGCCAACTGCGCGCCGCCCACGACAGTCTGCGCCCACCATCTGCACACGACGCCAACACCAACGCTAGCGCCATGGGCAACGAGCAGAGCAGCCAAAAGGGACAAAAGGAGCACAAGGACCGGGAGAGAGAGAGGGATAGGGAAAAGGAGAGGGACAAGGAGAGGGACAAGGCGCAGCAACAGATTCCCCGCCAAATCACCCCGCCTCAACCGCAGCCACAGCCCCCCGTCTCGAGTACGACGCCAGAGTCATCACAGCAACAGCTGACCCCTCCACCACCACCGCCATCACAACCGCAACAATGTGCGTCCTCACCGCAGAGCCACCCCGTTGATGTGCCCGCACCTGCGCGCGAAGAACCTCGTGCAGAACCCCAAGATGACCTAATATCCGCAATTGACCCCGCCGATGCCTCGCAAGACTACATCCCCGCCTCCCACTTCAACCGCCCGCCCCGCCTGCCACTGCCCATCGAGGAGGAAGTTCACACTCCAGGCTCACCCATAATATCGCCCCAGGACCTCTCGAGCCCAATTGACCATGGCGAGGTCGAGGGCGCATTGCCGAAGCGCTCGTCGATGCTTAGTACCACCACGGCCGACGACGACGACCTCGGCGACGAGTTCAAGCCCAACACAGGCCGGCCAACAGTGCCCACGCTGATAGAGTGGGAGGGGCCTGGCGAGCGTGTCTATGTCACGGGCACATTTGCCGGCTGGAATCGCAAATATCGGCTGCATCGCAAGTAAGTGCACCTCTTGTTTGCTCCTTGTACCTCGACCAGCCCTGTTGTCTCGGCGCATGGGGCAAGTCGAGCCATGTCTGTTGCCTACATCCACCCGTGTGGCGGCTCACATTCTGACGCGCCGCCTGAGACACGATCAATCAGGCGTCGCAGCACACAGCAGGCTTCAAAATTCTGATCCTAATGCTGTTCCTCTTGCGTGCTCTCGAGGGTTACACCGCACACCGACAAATACAGTCACCAGCACAGTTACTGACATGAAATCCTTTATAGTGGTCCTAGTAAGAAGAAAGATGCCCTCTCCGCTTACGTCTCCATCACACCCGGCACCCACCACCTCATGTTCCTCGTCGACAACGAGATGACGACGTCGGATAAACTGCCCACGGCAGTCGACTACACAAACATCCTTGTCAACTACCTCGAAGTTTCGTACGATGACGTGCAGCCCCCCAACACGGCTGCAGCTGCCACAACGAAATCAGTATCAGGAGCAACGGACCCTGTCCAAGAACGCGACGCACCAGCTGGCACTCAACCCCCGGAAAACCGTGCACCATCCCCCACCATTGCGCCCGTCAAAGCGCCCTTGCCTGAACCCGCAAAACCTCCCGCCCCAGAGCCGACCAAAAAATATCACCAGAATATTCCACGCTACCTCCTAGACCTTGACGCGCCCGAGGAATCCTCGCGGTTTGCGCGTGCCAACGCCATGACGAGCAATCTACCGACCCCACCCACGCTCCCAGGCTTCTTGGGCAAGAGCATACTCAACGGCACGACGCCGATGAAGGATGACAGCAGCGTGCTGATTCACCCAAATCACACGGTGCTCAATCACCTTGCAACGAGCAGTATCAAGGACGGCATTCTGGCGACGAGTGCGACGACGCGGTATAAGCAGAAGGTGAGTCTTTTTCTTCATCTACAGTGGTCATGTGACGTGGACTAATGAGACTGCAGTTCCTGACGACGATTATGTATAAGCCCAAGGAGGAGAGCAGCGAGCATGTTTACTGAGGTTAAAGAGTCCGTTCTTGTTCATGTGCATGCGTGGCGCAGGTGTTTTGATGCGGGAATGGACATGCAGTACAGCCCCGTGGGCTTGAGATGTAGTACAGTCCAGTGCAAACACAAAATCGAAAATCGAAAATCGACAAATCAAAGGCGAAGTCGAAAAAGGAACGAGGAAGCTTCGGCGTCGGTAGCGCTGGCTTTGATGGACATGGACATGAAGATAGTGTTGTTACGAATAGAGGACGAGACGCTTAGATGCGGTTTGTCTAGCTATGTTGTATGCTAGCTATATTGTACACCCACTCACGCATAGCATACTTCTGTCCTGTACCCTGCGTTTCGCAGTCTTGGATGAGATGTTGTATCTTTTTAAACACGATAAGACGACTTTACCACACGCGCAATTCAAATAAAGAATAGACTCGATTAGTACCGTACATCCAGTGAGAATTTCCAAATCAAACCAATGGAAGTCTTGGTGCTTGGTGCTGTGCTTGTATCGTTGGTGCGAATACGTAGGACATTGCAAGCATTCTAAAGCAAAAGAGTAGATACAAATGGTATGCCATTGTATATTTTACCATCATGCTGTTAATAAGCACAAGCAAGACTTGCCTACCTACCCTAGTACTACTTCTCTTACCAACCCAACGCTCCCAACCTTCATCTCCAGCGCTGAGGCCAAGTCATACCTAGTCCGCCTCCTCCTTTCACGGCAGGCTAGATCATAGTGGCTAGGTTACGACGGCATGTGTTTTACGGTATTCAAAATTGTTGCTTCATCGTGTTGGTTGGATGGATAGAATGGCATAGTATAGCGTATATGGCGATACCGACACAGCGTTACGTATTGAAACACCAATGTACGCGGTCTACGCACGCAGTCGTGAAGTATGATGTGTGCAGTGGTCTAGTTGTTGTCGCCGTGGGTGGGATATGGTGTGTTGGCTGTGCTAAGTTGTGCTTGGTATTTTCAGCACTGGGTTGAAGGGTCCTGGGGTAGGCGCTGGGGGAGGTGTATTAAGAGGTGGGTTGTTTGAGGGTGGTGTGTATGTTGAGAAGAGGGTTTTGTGGGATTTTGGGGTAGGTTTGGGATGGGGTGGTGTGGGTTGTGGTGGTGGTGGTGGTGGTGGTAGGGTAAGTGAGGTGAGGAAGGTGTGGTAGAATGCATGCATACTATGCGTAGTCATGCACACTTACTTTGGTACGGTACCTACCGCACCACGCACACACCCATATGCATACAGCACCAACATATGCAATATAATGCGTCAAGCATACCTACCAAGTCTACATGACCGTCTTATTCCCGCCCCGTTTTACACGACATTAATAACCTCTCTCTTTCTCTGCGACAAGAAACATTTTCTGTAGGGTATAGTATGGAGCAAAGCTATATGGGTACATTTGAAAACAAAGCCAGCCGAATAAATACCTAGGCAATTTATTGGCGAGAAAAGTACAGCTGTGATGGGTGTTCAAATTCATCTCTGTAGGTTCCTGTATCATGTTTGCTGCAAGGTACATGTGGAAAAGATGTTGTGAAATTCGTCTTGGGTGAAATGATCTGTCTTACCTCCTGAATATGACAGCGATTTGTAAAATTCTTGTTTATTCTTGTGTGCCACTGACTGCGCGAAAAATAAATTGTGTCGCTGCCATCTCGTACAACTTCACGCTGCACTATAACAATATCATAGGATACGGAAAAATACTCGTCGTCCTGATGATACTGTACTGCATTTGGCAACATACCGTGATAAACTCTGGCGTAGTTTGAGTGCGAGATTCTTTTGGAACTGAGAGCGAAGCCGAGTGTATTGGGCATTGCGATCTTGCAGGACTGACGTCCCAGACCTGGGATTGCGAATATAATTCCATGTGTTGTAGGGGACCTAGCAGGGAGAATCTCCAGAATAACTTGGTAGATTTGGTAGGGTGGGATGGTGGTGGCCAATCGTGTGCGTGGTAGGAGAGGCTATGAATATTCTACTAGTGGGTTGGGTGTTCGTGTTGGATCTTGTGTGGTTGCAACTTTTTCTTGGAGTGTTTTTGCGAACCAGAGTTTTAGGAGAGTGATTTGTATAAAATCATTTGGATGTTTTCAGGATTGCTTCCACTTTCGTCTGGTGTTATTCTCATCGACAGATGCCTTCATCGCCTTCCATCTCATGCGCTCGTAGCTTCAAGCACATATCACCACTACATTCCCTTTCTCTTCACACCAAGCTCTTCAACCAAATCCAAGTTTCTCCTTAAAATGCCTTCATGTATGCTTCCCTTTTTGAGGACCATATATCCTCCTGAAAGTTTCCCAAATCCTCCTGAGCCACATTACAATCACAACCCGCGCTGTTACCATCCAAGCTGCCGCCCCACCCAAGCACAACTGTCCGAAGAGGTCAAAGATTGGCCATGGATCCCCGTGGTATGGATGGAAGATTGTTGCTCTTGCTGGGTGCTTTCAAGGGGGAGGTGGCGGTTCCTCGTTTGTGGCTCGGTGCCGTGTCCACCGATACAGACACTGCCCTCCTGCAGTTTTTGTTGGAAGAGCATCCGGAATGAGGTGCCAACAATGGCAAAGGAGGGGCAACCGGATGATCTCAAGACCTTGGAGAAGAGGTTCAATCGCGAGCCCGTGGAGGGTACCGCGCCCGAGCTGATCAGGCCCTATGAGCAAATGGCGGAAATGGGTAAGGCTCCAGTCTGTGGATTTTGCTTCATTTGTTGACGGAATATCAGTTCGATGGTTGAAGCAGGGCCAGATAAAGGTCTCAAGTGACAGCCAAAGCATGGCTGCAGGTGAGCAGTCCGATCGCGACAGGTGTGAGTTCCCCTTCTAATATTGACAGATGGTACGGCTTTTGCTAACCACTGCATCAGGTCAACGCTGCTACCCCGAAACTCCGTCCTTCTCCACGGCTGTGGTCAGCTCGGAGAGCACTCTCGTTGCTACGCCAGACTTCTATGCCGATGTTTCGCGCTCTTCTAACACTGATGATGCCCCCGGATATTTGACGCCTGAAATTCTAGACGAGGATTGTCGCGATTGATTGAGAATGCTTCGCGCATTGTTGTTTTGCAATGTTCAATGTTCAAACATGGGTTGGCAAGTTTTCCTTTTTCCGCATTAGTCCTGGGTTTTGGCGGACGGGCCCGTCTTTAGTCTCATACCGGTATCGATTGGGTAATGCATCAACTGGGGCTTGTTTTCACACACCGTCTGGTGTTTCCACCATGATTGCCATTGTCACGAGACCCAGTCGCAACCGTTATCGCGTGAGGCCTGAGCCGAAGTTCCCGGGAATACGGTGTATCTTCCAAAATGCGATAATGTCCGACCGAGACAGGGCGGCAGGCCTTGATGAGCTGTTCACAATGGACCACGCGGCATTCTTCGCAATGTACCGGGACATCCGTGAAACTGGTTACCCGCCGTGCGCTGGGCAAGAGGATCCAACCCATACGACTTTTTCAATCACCTCGTGTCGACCATAGTAGGCGCAGCGGTCAATGGAGTGGATGTGATATATGCATCCGCAGACCGGAAACTTTTCAACCACCCGGAAACACATGTTGGGTGTAGAAATGCAATTGTTGGTGTAGAAGATGGGTTTCTGAAACAAGGAGAAATCAGGGTCCTGGATGAGGTAGACAAATTGAAATAGTGATGAGGTCGTAGACAGGGAACAACGGACAGCAAGGAACTATGTACTTTGTATATTTATCGGAGGTGCACCCAGTGGTAGGCACCCTTTAGCATCCTCGAAGGCTACAGCGGTCCGATTAGAAGGTTGAATTACGAATCAAGACGTGAGAAGCATTCTAAGTATACCTACCTTTCCATCTGTTCCGGACGTTGAGTATATCTCAAATGGACAGCCGGCGAGGAGCATCATTGGTGTGTTGTGAACGAATGGCAGTGGGCGGCAACCTCCAGCCGCATTCCGCGAGTCGAAGATCAGCCATGAAGTTCAAGCCACATAGGGCGATGTTGTACTTTAGGAAGTTCAGCTCCAGGCATGGCTCTAGGCGTGGCTCTAGCCATCGCTCTAGACATGGCTCTAGACATATCCCTTGGCAACCGAATCGTAGGCCGTCGATCCCATGCATGGGATTTGCGATTTCTCAGCCGCAGACGTTGCAGGTGGATCTTGCAAGCGGCTGTGGCGTATGCTCCGCTCCGTCTTCCACAGACTCTTGTCGAGTAAGATGGGCGGAAAAGTCGCGAGATATTGCGCTATTTGGCGGCAGTGCTGTCATAGCTACGGATGCGCTGGGAAGGGCAGTGTCACGGCCGAAGCTGCTGTCGACGATAGAGAATGTCTGAAATGGGCGTCACCGGGAATGGCACCGATCGAGCCCTGGATAATGGCGAAGCATTCGACAACAAGCTCGCTGCTGTTCAGGGTGCTCCAGGTCCCGACGCAAAGCGCGAGCGAAGCGGTGAATTGAGGAGAGAGAGTTGGGCACACATGGGTCACGCTAAGTTGAGTACGTCAGCCCTAAATACATACTACCAACACATTGAACGTCCGAGCCAGTCACGCCTGACAATCATGGCTCGAGGAAACTAAGATCGCTGGGAATAGGTTGCTTTTTCAAGCTTTATAGCCCGGCAGATGACCACCAAGGTTATGATTGCCGCGTGAAAGCATGTCTCCGTTGGGGCACATCTAGATAAGGCATAGCTGAAACTCCACTGTTCGGTAACATGCATCCGCCCAGCATAGTTGCCGTCCATACGTTATTCGTCCCAGTGAATGGCATTTGCCCAAATACGCTGGGTCCTCAGCCACAGGAGAGCGCGTTCATATTTGGTCGTTCTGATCGAGCAATTATAAAACAAGATATCTATTCTCTGATCTACCGGTATCATGCATCAGGTTTGGTCTCAGGAACACTGGCCTCAAGAACACTGCTTTCAGACCACCCTGAGACATTTGCTGCCGACATCCTATCTCTCGGTCAAAGTTGCTTTAAGACTCCTTATAAGCCCGACTAACACAAGCCCATCCTTTTTACTAACTGCTTTGCAATATAAAATAAGCCCCTTGCATGACCATTCCGTCCTCTCACTCTCGAACCTGGGATCCCCAGCAACACAAGCTTCAAGATACTTTATGGCCGCAAGAAAATCTGTGCTCAAATCTGTAACGCACGTCGATTTATTGAATAGATAACAATTCGGATGTACAGTAATTAAGTCCATACTAGTACCCTGCGGCATGTTGTTCAGGATGGCCACAACGTCGCTGTTCTTTTCCTTGAAAGCTCGATAAGAGAAGAGCTCGTCACCTGACGCATTGTAAAAGGTCTCCCTTCTTGGAACGAAGGGATGTCCGAGTTCTCCCGCCAGATTAAACATCTGCTCCGCTGCTCTTGAATCCGATTTGATTTTGGACAGGATTTTTCTTCCGGCGAGTGATCGATCGCGGGTCGAAGTGGTATACGGGCCACTTAATTCATCTGGCTCGTCGAATCCTGGCTTGTAAAATGCTAAATGCCATAGATTCTTCGCATTCAGCTCCGTGTTAAAGCGCAGACGGGTCAAAATTAAAGTTTCCACGTCCACTTGAGCAATGTGATCATAGTTCTCGAAGACGTTCATTGTTGGGCCACTGGGTTGGTTTCGATGGTCCTGTGATTCTCAAAATGATATTTCATATGGATCAATCGGTAGTGAATTTGCTGGGGGTGCTGAAAACCTTTCTTATATGCGAAGAGTGGATGACTCGTATATATCGTAGTGCCATTGTGCTCATGATTAACACATGTAAATTGCTCGGCGTCACAAGCTCTTCGACGTATTGTCGTGTCATACCGTGATACAGTCCGCTGGTGACTGTATTTGTGGGCGTGGGCGTCATTCAGATTGTGTCACAAACCTGTTGTCATGTTACTCATAGTTACGTTCCTCTTAGCTGTATCCAGTCACGGTCATTCGTAACTTGAGGCTCAATTCAGGATCAAACTTACTCACGCACTGTCATAGATTTTTTTATCGCGTGCTTGATGCTTGAGAACCGTCACCCATTTGCCAATACTCAATCTTTAAGCATTTGAAGACTTTTGCTCCACAATCTTGGCTTCAAAATACTAGAACCATGGCCATTAGGGCTACTCACACTTCCAAACGAAAGTACTAGTGTGTTTATATCTAAATGTTTACACATTAGAAGTACTGCTGAGTTGTTTTATTGCAACGTATAGCGTACGCATGCTTTTGTTTGGACACAGAATTAACACTATCACGTACTTCAATTTTGATCTCTGTTTGGCTCGTGCAAGACTTTGGCATCATTGGTTTGTTGTGGTTGTGGAAAATTTGGGTCGGTCCGAGAGCCTTGACACATTGTGTGCTAAACTCTGTTGATGACACCACATATGAATCTTCAATGCTCAATAATGCACCAATTATTATATGCCATTGATCTCGAATAAATGTTCCAGTTCCTCGGAAAGGAGTCATTCTTCAAGCCTCCAATTTCCGAATATCTGTCAACCTACTAAGCGGCAGCGCTTTAACCTGCCTAATCTGTCCCTTTATTTCCAGGCCAGTGTTACCGTCTTTCGCTTCGGCCTTTATGAAACCTTCTGCCCGTGCGAGTTGATAGAAGTCTACGCTCTTTACATCCATTTTGTGCTCTTTGGAAATCTCTAAGAGACGGCCTAAAAGAAAATTGTAGTCATGGGATGTCTCATACTGCTCTATGTTCAAGTCATTGGGACCCGAAACAGTGCAAAAAAGGACCAATAGATCCAATTCTTCTCGCCGTTTGATGAGATTCAGCGAGTATGCAATATTCTTGTTCGTTTCCTCAACTGCTTTGAATGTGAACAATACTTTGCCGTCTTTCGAGATCACCTGTCGCGTTTCGGCGGGGAATATATGACCCATTTCCTTTCTTATGTCCCCAAGTTGATTTGTAACTTCCCCGTAGCTAGGATACAGCGAACACAATTCTGTGATCGCGATGTCGCAGTCGTTCTGTGAGTACAGATAAGGACCATTGATTTGGATTGGGAATCGGTAGCTCTTGGACTGTGTTTCTTTGCATTCCAAGTGTGTAATGTGTAGGTGTACTAGTTGAGTGGGATTGCCGTAAGTATCCTGGGCGCGATTGGCTATCCATTTGGGGGTTTCTTCGTGATTGGCTGACATGGTAGATTATGGGACGGATATCAGTGGGTACTGCAAATAAGCTTGTTTGATATTAAAGTATCTTTCCTGTGTTGTGGCGGGTGTTGAAGGACTGCCAAAGTGATTCTATGGATGCTTTTATATATCTCACTACAAGCAGTCACATACACTCAAGGGGCATCTCAGTCATTCCCCATGCTCTCGGTGCCCGAGAGTTGACTATGATATTTCATTCTCTTCGTCTTACATGTTGGTCTTGAGTGTCTGACAGTGTCGAAGCGAGGTGTCGCAGACGCAATTGACTCCGTCCAAGAGTAATATGGTTATGACTCGGTAACAACGACACCTACAGGAAACGTCAGAGATCGGGTAGACATTTCGTCCTTACTTCGCTCTCATTGGACATGTACCTCAACTTGAGCACTCACAACCGAACAGTATCAACGCATGTCACTTTACTGGCCCAATCATAAGCTTTTCCAGATATAATCGTACCCTTTTGTCTTTGTAAATCCGTAGCAACTGCATCGGCATCATCAACGTGTAGAGAAAATTTAGTTGTGATACTGCAAATGACTGTGGTGAACCGGCCGATAGATTTTGCCATCTTCTCAACATTGCTAAAATGCGCACTCGAGTCACAATCAAGGCTCTTAGCCTCATCACCGAGTATGTTTTCCAGATTTTGTGGCTCATCAAAACTGCACACACCTGGTTCCAAGGAGTATGTCAAATGAGTCATTTCTTGTCAAGTGCATGCCCAGCAGAAAATCGTAATATGCGGTGAAGGTAGGCCCCTGACCCCTGACCCCTGCATGAATCTATTCTCCTTCCCCACACTTGGGTCAAAACAACGACAGGCCGTCGTGCAGTTGAGAGAGACTCTGTGCAATTGAATCTCTTCGATTCATGAGAAAGACTCCTTTTCCTTCAATTCTGCCTTGTGAGCCCGAACGTCCATCCTACACCCATTATTGTATTTCACCAGGATATCTATCGGCGATTACGCACTCATCTCTGAACGCAAATTCAACACGCCAAGTACCTTTCCTCATATCAGCATTGATCTCCATGCTGCAAGGTAATCCTAGCATGGCGCAGTTTTACCGTTGGCGTGATCGCACACTGCCCTCCTTGGAAGCCGCGTTCAAAATCCCCAATGTTCAGGTTGTGTAAGAGGATATAATTGGCTTTCGACGATTGTGATTACAAATTGCTGCCTAACTATGAAACTCACAGCATCAAAATGCCGCTTTCCTGATACAATCTAAATGAAGAGAATCCTTCTGCGTATGGTGGGCTTTGCACATCCATTTCTCTTCTCGCAGAGTGATTTTGGGTAATTGCATCTGTCTTGAAGTTGGTATTACCAGCCTTATAGTCCTTTACACTCTTTATGGTTGTTTTTTGATCGAAGAATGTCGTGTATATTAGCTTGGTGGCATCTCCAGGAGCATTTGCGTGTTCGATGACAGCATAGCGATCTTCGCGCTCATCTGCTGTTGATCTATTTTAAAATATCTGCATGTGTTTGCTATGCTCCAGAATCCTGATGTCGGAAAAACACTCTTCATGATTTTCACTTGAGATAATCGTTTTTCCAAGCATGTATATGTGATGCTATTTGTCGATGAGGTCAAGGAGCTTGTCTTTTGCGAATCGCGTTTTTTACTTCACATTGTAAGTGGAAATTTCCACGCATGCCCTATTGTAGATTTGTAAATCCTAAAGTGTATCGTCCAAGTGCCGACCTAAAACTCAAACGTATCGTGTTCTCCTTAACCTCTGTAATACCATAGTAGCTATACATTGCGAGAAAATTATATTCTATTAGACACATGTTAAGATATGCCTACTTGTCGCTCTTCGCATATCTTCATCTACAAATGCATGTGCATCATGTAGAACAACGTATAGTACACTTACAATCCCAGTCATCATCCAAGTGTTAAGTACTCACTAAAATTTGGGTCGTATTCAGAGTCAGAGAATCATGTATGGTACTCTGAATCACCTGCCTCAAAGACAGCAATATTATTCCGCCATGAGCATGTTACACTCGGTTTGGACTGGATTTCATAAGACAGACTATGTGTAGAGCTGGATTGGACAAGCCCCATTTTTACTAGTATATTCATTAGGCTAGATCAATATCTTAACAGATACAGTTCATTAGATGACCACATTCCTTCCACCTGGGAACTATAAAGTAGTATGATGTGTCTTAATTGAGTTATTCAATCAAGCAAAGCAGAACTCGTGTATGCTCAAGTTGACTGGTAATTAAAGCAGAATATTTTCTTAAGATGCATTTGCAAATGCTTTAAGTCACCACAGTTTCCCTGCGGTTTCCCTGATACTATTGCTTCCTGATATCTGATTTAAGTGAAGTACTGTATGTATGCTAATGGCCATAAAAATCCTAATACAGATCTTTGACAAGTATTCAGTCTTTCGCAAGACGCACTACTCAGTTCGGAGTTGTCTAACATCCCCAGTCACACCTGTAGGAGCATTTGGTAATTGCATTTGAACCTGACAACATGCTCACAGGTGCAACTCTTCAAACATGGCATGAGTCTTAATCAAGATAGATACTAGCCAAATCCTTTTAGGGTTGAGATATGCGATCACTCAAGAGAGACCAAAAAAGATTTTGACCCGGATTTCTGGCAAATCACGGTACCATAATTACCACATGAGGACCTCGACTTCTCTTGAATCAACAATGGCTTATATATCACCAAATGGACATTTCAAACATACCGCAAACTACGGCTGACGTCATGAAACACATGAATATTCACCTAATTATCGATTTTGACATTTTCTATATCAAAACATTACATTTTGAGGGACCTCAAAATCAATAGACACTAGGGAATAGATATCAATCTACTTTAATACCACCCGGCACACTCAGGAAGTTGTGTCTGTTTCGGAGAAAGGCACCCTCTTCCTCTCCTCCAAAGTCGCCTGGAACATCGTGATATGTCCAGTCCTGAGTTCCCGAATAGATGCTGGAATAATCAGGCACCATCCGGGAACCATATCCCCATATTTGAGTATGAAACTGCCGGATCCTTGGACACCCGAAAGCACATTTATCAGGTAATCCTTCGCCTTGTTCAAATCAATGAAAGAGCATGGGCGCCCAAATTCCAAGTCGTCTTTTGTCTCGTTGGTGCTGGTCGACCGCACAAGATATATAGTCTGTGTCGTACCCTCGTCAAGCTGGTTGATCAATGTTGCTACTACTGGGTTCTTTTCATAAATAGTTGTGTATATACATCTCTTTGCGAGGTACTCTTCAACGTTGCTACATGATGTGCGAACATCTGCAACTGGCACTTCCTCAACCTCGCCAAATAAACAGTCTATCAGAAAGGGATGGCCTGCAGATTCGATCTTTTCGTCGAGTTTGGATAGTGCATATGGGTTGTTTTTGGCCTTGACCGCTTCTCGAAGTTGTTCAGTGGCCTTTGCTTGGCCGCTTGGGGACGAGGTGAAGGGACCAAATGAGATCTCTTTCTTTTCCATAGTAAGCAGAAGATAATAGATATATTCCGGTGAGAGAGGCGGTGGAGGAAGCGGTGGGCTCGATGGATTCAGCAAATTATGCTTTGGTGACTGAGGCATCATGTTCTGCATCTTTATGGTTTATGTTCCAGGGTATGAAGAAGATGGTGGATGTTTTCGACAGTACGCTCACTCTTCTGTGATTGCGCAGTACAGCATGGGAAACTTGTGGACTATATATACATAAACCACAGAGCAAAACAGTCACCATACCGTGATTCATGCCCAAGAATCAGTCACCAAGCACATACTCATAGACACTTCATCAGAGAACGACTATGCGTCACAAGGGCGATACCCTA